TCCAAAAGATTTGTGATTTTGATGCTTTTTGGATTTCAGAGTTGTGGATGATAGATTGTGTACTTGTAGTATATATTCATGATACATTTAATAAAACATTGTTTTTAAAGATCTTAGTTCTGTGCGAAATCTTAGCTAATTTTCTCAAATTTTACAGTGCAAATATGTTAGAGTTGGACACCAGTAAGAGAATATTTTCTGTTCACCTATATAAACATGCATTAGCAAAAATGCAGAATGGAAGCTATAAAAATATCTTATAATCCACGTAAAATGACCTTTAAAATGAACATTAGGTTGGTGAGAAAGTAATTGCATTTTGCCATTCCTTTGGTTAAAAGTGCAACAACTTTGGCATCAGCCTAATAATATGAATTGCAAAAGTAATAAAATCATAGTAAAAATATTAGCTGTGGAATGCATATCTAGTTAAGATATAAATATCAATAATATTTTATGATAATATCATATAATATTATGACATTTATACACATGAATAGATTTAAAAATCTATGCTCTTTTCAGACGCAGAAATTCCCAAGCTACAGTTTTCGCCTCTTACTTAAAGTGTTCTATTCCTCCACTTTCCTATTTGCCATGCAGCTGCTATGATCCCCTTGTATATTATTAATCAGTTATTTTCTATCAGGACAAATACCTGCATATGAGGACCTTTTCATGCAACCTTAAAAAAGGATTCAGCCATGTTTAAATATTCCTAACCTTTGGGCATAATAAAGACCTTGCCATTGCTAATAAATACCAATTGTTATCATAAATACATATGAAATGAAACAATTAAAATATAAAATCATTTTAAAAACTACACTGTGGACTACTGTGGAAATTACTGCAAACTCAGGAACAAATACCACCGGATCTAAATAATGATCCCCACAGTGGTTTTTGGAGTTCACAACACACAAAAATGCTAATTATTTTTGGTTTTAGCAATCCAATTTTCTTTTTATTTTGCCACAATTTCTATGGAAGTAAGTTAGATCTAAATAAACAATTATTTCTCCAGTTAATGCATGTTGATGACTTATAAAACTAAGTTATCCTCCAAAGAGTAGTAGGATGAGAACATAAAATCTCGTTGAAGATGTTACAGAAAATGAGTGATTTTATTATTGTTCTGGGTATAAATTAGAGTAAGAATAATTTTTAAATATATTAAGTCTTATAACAATGACACATTTAAAAGTACAGGTTATAAAATAAGTAGCTCTAAATCAACAAATAAAAAAAGTTTGCTGCCAAAGAATATCTTAACTTACAGAACTTAAAAATATACACCTTAGCTCTGGAGTATTTTAGTTTTTTTTTTTTTAAGAACTTAATGAACATGGTTAGAAATCAAGATATTATTTTGAAGTATACGTTTACTTAAAGCTAATTTAAGCATATTTACTCCTCATTGAGTAAAATATAAGAAAAAAGTATTTATTCAAATAGAAAAGTCAGAATTTGAGGGTTATAACTTATTTGCTGTCCTAGATGCCATTAAAAAAGCTGTCAGAAAACTCTGGTCATCGAAGATAAAATATTTTTTCAGTAGATGTTTTGGTTATGTAGCTAGCTTTTGGATTCAGGGTTCTTATACCTTAAAACAGCTGTTGCATCTTAAAAATATTTTTGGAATCATTTTTGCATCTATGAGATAGTGTAGCTCTGGTTGAAGGAAGAAACCCAACTAAAAGTGTCTTAGAACACTTTCAACCCTGTAGGATTACAATTCCATTTAGCCTTCAGATATTTATTTCCCGTATGATATAAAAGCTACATCTAAAAATCTAAGTAAGTAAATCAGAATAAATATATTTTGAAGTCAAGAAGCTTTTATTTTCAATAGTATAACCTGACAGTCTTTTACTTAGCATCTGAATAGTACCTGGCATAATACTTAGAATAGTATAGACAACAATGGTGTCTGATTGTATGCAGAAAATATGCTTGGTCTCAATCAGAGTTTAAATGTCAATCTCCAAAATGTAATGAGTTTCACAATTGATTCATCATGCAATTGTCCAGAAACAATAAGTATATAGAAAATTTTCTATATACTCTCTCTCAGACAAAGGAGTTAAAAGATGTTTCATGCAAGTTGAGTCTTTTCCTAACTTCAGAGATTTTTTATAAGATAACATCTCTTCTGAAGACAGATTGATAATAACTTATGACTTTGAGGTCTTAGGCCAGCCTATGATATTATTGCCAGTTCAAAGAAAATTGTCTTTTGAATGACGTGCAATCTAACCTTCAACACTAATCATTTAGTAGGCCTAGCTAGTGAGAGTTCAGGTATTAAGAATACCCAGATTTCAGATGCTATTCTTTTAACTCCCTCTTCTTGAAAAACCACTTTATGTTTTAAGATTCATACCCAAACTCTATTAAAAAACGAAGGGTGAGTCAATGAACTTTGTTTTATGTTTCCATATTGAATTCTGTATATAAACACAGCAAGAATAAAACTTAGAAACATATTATGAATGTTTTATGGTCATTCAAAATCTATTTAATATAGTGAAAAAAATAGCCTATGTTTTTACAAGGTGGAAATTTATACAGCAAAAGTATATTTTTGTGTTTTAGTCAGTGTTTAAGAAAATCTTGCAAAATTGAAGATGTATAACCTTCCATCTAGACACTTGATTTAAAAATAATATTAAAGTATCACTTCACAGAACAAGTTTTCTCACTTGCATATGCATGTGATGATGGCAGATGGAGAAATGTCTAATGAAACCACTGATTAAAGACCAACTTCAAGGGTATTTGAAAGAAAGATACTTTAAAATATATAGATCTTAATTATTTTAATGTCTACTTCCAAAAGAAATCCAAAAGTCTCTGTCTTCGCATGTTTTCATTGAAGAGAGTTCTATTTTAATAAGAAATATGCATATATCCTTTTTAATGATTAATATAATTTTCTTCACAAATGGAGTGATAGAATTCTGACTAGTATTATATTTGCTTTACATTTCTTTTTAACACGTCTTTAGCCATAAATATTGGCAAACAAAGCTATTCATATTGACTAAAACATTTCATATACAGCTTCAAATATTTTGAGACAAAAATTCATCTAAAGGATTTGCTTCCTTTTTTAAAAATATATTAACATTTCCCTGTTAACTTATTTATTTATATCTTGCTTGATTGCTTTATTTTCAAGAAAGTGTCATACTATAAAGAGTACAATTACCTTCAATAAAAAATAACACAGCATGAGGATAAATTGCAACTATATCAATAGGAATTAGTAACTAGTATAGAAATACTATTCTTGCCTAGGGCAATAGTTATGGTTGAATTGAGTAGAAAATCCAAAGCAAGAAAAGAAAATCTGAATTCTAGTTAAATACTGTGGGAAAATAGAATTAAAAATAAAACTTTATCCCAGTTCAGAAATCCTCTGCAGAAAGGTAGTAGAGAAAAAAAAAAAAAAAAAACTTTTTATTATTGTACATGTAAACTTTACACTAGACTGTAATGAGCATCACAGGCAATCTGCTAGGAGATTACAAAAACAGAAATCTCAGTCTTATTAATAGCCAAGAAGATACAACCCGTTACCTATATGTTTTCAAAATACGAATTAACTTGCTCTCCAGTGAGAGGACTTGAAAACATCATTAACCCATTCTAAGTTTACCTGGTAATTAAAATGGCTAACTCTGTTAGCTAAATAGTTTTATCTGAAAATACACACACACACATACACATGCATACACACACACATTTTCTTATGACAGTAGGTAGTTTTGCAACTTGGGGCAAGGTGGTCACCATGGAAATTAGGTTCCTATTCATCCCCTGAAACTGGCAGATAGGGGTGCTATCATCCTGGATGGTTGTATGTTAAAGAGATTGCTCCCAGGTTCTTAAGAAAGACATTATTGGGTCATAAAAGGCCAACAGACAAAGGCCTATGTAGTCTTTAGAAGGATTTATATGCATTTCGAAGAGTTGGGAAAATACACATTTTCCAAGATAAAATCCTCTGAAAAAACAAAAAAGAGATAAAAATATTTCATTTCCAACAGGAAAAATTATACCTCTTATTTCAAACTACTAAGATTTATTTAAAAAAAATCATTAAAAGAGAAATATTGATTTTTTTTTTTTTTTCGAGATGCAGTCTCGCTGTGTCTCCCAGGCTGGAGTGCAGTGGCGCAATCTCTGCTCACTGCAACCTCGGCCTCTCAGGTTCAAGCGTTTCTCCTGTCTCACCTTTCCAAGTAACTGGGACTGCAGGGACGCGCTGCCACGCCCAGCTAATCGTTTGTATTTTAGTAAAGACAGGGTCGAGGTTTCACCATGTTGGCCAGGCTGGTCTAGATCTCCTGACCTGATGATCCACCCACCTCGGCCTCCGAAAGTTTTGGGATTAACAGGCGTGACCCACCACACCCGGCCTAATTATCATTTTTTTTAATTATAAAATCAAACTTGCAAAGCAAGTTTACTATGTCCCTTAATTCTTAAATATATGTAAATTTGGAAATGTATTCATTATTTCCACAAGAGCTGCTGTAAATGCCCAAGCGGTTCACCTGCTCACTGCCTAGAAAAGGCCAGATCATCAAGACAGGAATTGCAATGGCAAAAGAGTAATTCGTGCAGAGCAGACATTATGGGAGACCAGAGTTTTTATTGCTCAAATCAGTCTCTCCAAGCATTGGAGAACCAGAGGTTTTAAGGATCATTTGGCGAGTGTGGGCTTGGAAAGTGGGGAGTGCTGACTGATCGGGTTGAAGATGAAATCGTTGAAGTGAGTTCTTGCGGAGTTCTGGGTGGGATCGTAGAACTGGTTGAACCAGATTATCAGTCTGAGTGGTGTCATCTGCTCTATGGAAATGCAGGGTCTGCAAAAGATCTCAAGCACTAATGTTAGGTTTACAATAGTGATATTACTCCAAGGAGGAATTTGGGGAGGTCCAGACTCTTGCAGTGGGAGGCTGCATGGCCCCCAAACCTTGAGATATCCCATCTTGTAGCTAACTTGTTAGTCCTACAAAGGCAGACTGGTCCCCAGGCAAGAAAGAGTTTTTTGGGAAAGGGCTTTTATCTATTTTGTCTCAGGCTTTAAACTATAAATGAAATTCCTTCCCAAGGCCAGTTTGGCCTACACCCAGGAATGAACAGAAAGTTTAGAGGTTAAAAGGAAGATGGGGTCAGTTAGGTCTGATCTCTTTCAGTGACATAATTTTCTCAGTTATAATTTTGCAAATGTAGTTTCAATGCTATCCTTAATTTAAACACTGTCAAATTTATTCTGTTCATTGGATATTTAAATACAGATCCAAAGATCCTTTGCAGTTTATGAATTTTCCTTCACCATATTCAAGAAGACTTATGTTAAGGAATTATGGGGGAAAAAAGGAAGCCGTCCCTTGTAATTATTGATTTCTGAGATTTGAACTGATTAGTAGTTCATTTGGGGACCAATCTAATCAAGTCTTAGAGATTGTGAACTGAGTAGATTTTCCAGGAGGTACTTTGCTGATGAAAGTGAGGTTAGACGTTCAATTCTTAATGAAAACTGAAGAAATATTAGATATCTATAAGTTAGTTTCATTTATCTTACAAATAAAATAGCAACCCTGATTATTTAATGCACTTTTCATAGATGAGACGATGACTAGTACCTACATTTCTTAACTGAGCAGTATTTCCTCATTATACCACATCGCCCCTTCATCGACGTACATTCCTGATACTACAGTAGTCATCCCCATTATCAGGTGATATGGTCCAAGAACCCCTAGTGCATGCCTGAAACCTCAGGTGGTACCGAATCCTGTATACACTATGTTTTTTTCCTATACATACAAACCTATGATGAAGTTTAATTTGTAAATTATGCACAGGATGTGATTAACAACAATAATAATAAAATAGAACAGTTATAACAGTATAGTAAAATAAAAGTTATGTGATACGGTCTCTCTCTCTCTCTGCCAAAATTATGTACTGTACTTACTCTTCTTCTTCCTGAATCTGGGTAGCCATTCCTTGCTTCCAATAACTGGGTTAGTGACACTCATTTCAGGTAATTCTTTGCTGAAGTCTGTGTACATTCAATGCTCTCTGGAAAAACACCTTGCTACCAATTGGAACATGCTGTCTGTTCATGTCTTCTCCTCATAAATTTAATGCTGGTTCCATTTTAACTAATTATTTATCATGCACTTTGGTTTAACATTTGCAATTTGAAGCCTGACAGCAAAACTAGAAAAACTTTCTTTATTCTTCTTCACAATTCTATAGATAGAAGATTCTTACGGTAGCAACCTCTGCACAGGATTTTTCTTTCTTTCTTTCTTTGTTAGTCAAGAACTTTTGGACAGACACGGTGGCTCTGTAATCCCAGCACTTTGGGAAGCACAGTCAGCTGGATCACCTGAGGTTGGGAGTTTGAGAACAGCCTGGCCAACACGGTGAAATGCCATCTCTACTAAAAAAAAAAAAAAAAAATTAGCCAGGCCTGGTGGTGCACATCTGCAATCCAGCTACTAGGGAGGCTGAGGCATGAGAATAGCTTGAACCTGGGAGATGGAAGTTAGTGAGCCAAGATCATACCACTGCACTCCAGCCTGGGCCACAGAGCAAGACTCCATCTCAACAAACAAACAAACAAAAACCCTTTCTACTTTTTACCTAAAGGAAGCACTTTAAAAATTCTCTTCAGCACTCCAAATTGCATCACCCCTCTTGCACTTTGGGACCATTATTAAGTAAAATGTGGGTTACTTGACACAAGCACTGCAATCCCTAATCATCAAAAGGGCTGCTAAGTGGCTGATGAGCCAGGAGAGTGCATATGTGGCTACACTGGACAAAGGGTTGATTCAGGTCCTGGGCAGGACAGAATGGGAAGCACAAGATTTCATCACACTAATCAGAAAGGTGTACAAATTAAAACATATGTATTCCTTTATTTCTGGGACTTCTCATTTAATACTTTTGGACTGTGGTTGACCATGAGTAACTGAAGCAGTAGGACACAAAATCACAAATAAGGGGGAATTACTGCATATCTCTTAACCCCTCACATAACCCCAAATGGAATCACAAGTTTAATGTTCAATGCATTGAAATAACTCTATAGAACTGAATAATAGCTTAGTATATTCTGTGACAACGTATTCAAGAGTTTTAACATATCGTTCCATTCTCAGAATTTTCCCACTAGTCAAAATTCTTAGAATTTCTCTCCGGAATATATTATTCTTTTTTAGTTTTTATGATCTGCAATGAGTTCAGGAGCCATGGCCTTTGATGTATATGCAGACTGCCTAGCAAGATTTAAGTTTTTAGGCATATTTAATATGATATGTTATTATATATGCACATGTGTATTTACATAAAATATCACTAAAAACATCAAAGGTTATTTATTGGGAGAAGGGTGAAGAGATAAAAGAAACAGTGAAAGCATATCAAAATAACTTTCTTCAATGCAACAGCATTCCTCCGGATCTGTATTAATGGTGCAACACCGCTGGGCCATAGCTGGCTGCAGTGCTTAAGTGAGGATATGATATGGATTTGCTAAAAGTACTTCAGTTTGAAATAGGTTCTGTAATTCCTAGTTATTGATAGTATAGTTTGTAACATTATTTTTATTCAACTCTGACCAATGGAAAATTAAAACAACTTTGATCACTTTGGAAATTCTAGGCTTGGCTTTTCATTTGTAACTATCAATTATTTAAAGAATAGTTTAAAAGGGCTCTTGGAGCTCTTTTTTGGGGGAAAATTACAGTAATTTAGGTAGTAAATGTGAATGATCCCAAGTCTTTAGTTCCATATGGAATAAAAATGCTTTATAAAACAGTCACATTGCCATCTACTGACAGCTTTTTATAAGAGAACCAACATTTTCTCATTAGCCCAACTGTCTGACTATGCACTTAAATGATCTATTACTTGACATCTGGCAGTACAAAAAAGGGGGGAGCATAGTGTATCCCTTACTCCATACCTCTACTTGAAATAATCTCGCCATTCACAGCAACCATTTCAAGCTATTCAATGTTTCACTTTCATATGCTATAATTAGATACATTTATTAATGGCATTATTGCATAGTATTTCATAGCTGGTAAAACTGTTTTTAGGAAAGTGACTACAGAGGGTATGTTAATAAATCTGCCCTGCATGTACAGTACATTGGGACTTGCTAATAGGATTTTCATAATAACAGCATTTATCTCACAGCACATTTTATAATACCAATCACTATATAACAGCAGTGTCGCTATTACATTATGTGAAAAATAGGATTTGTGTTAAGTGCATGCATTCTAACCTGAAACACAAAAGTACAATGGTGCTTGAATTACTTCTGCATCAAACCATTTGCTTTCACATCCTTTTTTTTAGAAACTTTTTTGCTTCTGCCAGAGTTGATATAAAAAACACATCTAGTGCTATTATAAAAAGATCAAAAATTTACATCTGTACTTCCAATGAACTAGTAGCTCTAAAGTGCAGCATCCCGATTAACAGTAACTATGACCTTATGGATGGTAATAACCAAGTCTTACTATAGTTAGTAGTGATCAGCTCACATACCAAATGCAATTCACTTCCCAATTTAATTCTTAGAACTGTTATTAAGTATCTTTCTTCCATTTTCCAAGACTCAGAGCATACAATTAAACTTGAATTTTAAGTTACAGTATTATCTTTCCACAAAAGTCATGAGTACTTATATCAGTTTTTCAGATAACCACATGCTGTGCATGTTTTATAACTTGAAAAAAAGGAAAAAGAACATACACACATTTTGGCCAGTCATAATAATAGCTTGCAAAATAATTAATCCACAAAAGCTGAGCTATGAGCCTTTTGAAATGATAACTATGTAACTCAGTTGCTCATAATCTTTGCAAACAGCGAGGACTTTCTTTTAATCTCAAATTGCTTAGAATAGCTTAAATATATTTAAAATTGATTTAGGAGACATATAGTTAGCTTATTGTTTCACATGTTTTTACCTGAAATTAATAAATGAATGGAGAACATACATTATTGCAGAATTGAAAGCCATGTACTATTCAAGTAGGGCACACCATCATATATTTTGTCATAACTGGCTCTACCTGGATTTATTATGAAACAGAGTGAGTTAAAGGTTTCCTTGACTGAAGATCCAAGAAAGCAGAACATTCTGCTCTGAGAACTCCAGCTGAGTTTGAATAAGAAATCATTCAAGAAGAGATGAAAGGCCTAGATTTTGCTGCCTTTCAACTAGTTCTAAATTAATGTTAAAGATTTTTGCTACATTTCCTGACCTTGCAAAATAGAGTATTTCCAAATGATAATTCAGTTATAGTCACTATTCAAAAAATCAAGATAGAAAGACATTTAGGCTTTCCTTTCCCCTCATGCAATTCACTTAATGCAAAAAGAAAATGTGTAGATTATAGAACAACTCCATTAAAAGAACTGATTTATTTCATATAAACTCTATACTGAATTTTTGTACTTAAACTATATATTTTTTTACTTTATACTGTGTATTTCATATTAAAACTATTATATTTGGAATATAAAAGTATTTTAAATTCAATATTACAGTTAACCACAAAAGCAAAAATACCAAGGAAATCAAAACAACAGAAAATTTTGTGGTGACAGACAGAAGTTTGAACTGGTAAGAGTGAGTGTTGACTTTAAATGGGCAGAAGTCAGCCCATAAAAAAATAGAAGCGGTCTATGTGAGCTCTGCTTCTGTTTCTCTCCAGAAACTATATTAAAACAAAAGGTGCCTGTCCTCACCTATGAGGATTCAGAGCTCTGATACAAAGTATCTTCAAGAATAAAATTAGAACAGCAAAGGCATCCTGTGCTTATGGGTAGCTGACATAATGTGGAAAAAATTTGGAAAGCTACTTTCCTACACCTTCTCCTTCAAACTCCCTGAATGGTGGATTAGTACCTATTGCAGAGATACTAATTCTAAAGCTAAATTTTCTTGGGAGTCAAGGGGTGAAACAAAAAAGGATTTGCTTAATGGGGTCAGCCATTATTAATGGTTTATTGATGACTGGGGTTTTCCCCCCTGGGGCTCATCCATCTACCTTTTCCCAAAAATTCCTTTAGCGCATTAGAGTTGATACTTTATTTCTGATTTTCATAAGCATTGACAGAGTTGCTTTTATTCCTAAGGGAACATAAACTCCTAGATACAAATAACAAGACACTTGAGAAGGACACTACTGCTTTTGTCAGAAGTAGAGTTACTAAAACATATTTATCAAGATTTAAAACTAGCCAGATAAACTAAAGAAGAAATGGGAAGATATTATAAAGATGCAGCAAGAGTAGGAAAAAATACAAAATAAATAGAACATATGATATACAGTAGATGAATAAAATAGGTAGAATTAAGTTATATGGATAGAAATGAGAAATGTATTAGTAAATTGGAAGATCGGTCCAAGAAAATTTCTCAGAGACAGAAATAATTAAAAAAATATAAAAGATGAAAAGATAAGCTAAGAAATAGGGAGATTAGAGACCAAAGTGCTAATACTTAGATAACATATTTATTTCAAAAACATAAGAAATAAAAATGAAGAGTGGTACTCAAAGTAATAATGAATATACATTTCCCAGATTATTTTTAATAAAAGATATCCCTGTTTGAAAGGATCCTGAAAGTGCTAAAGAGAAATGATGAAGAAAACTCATATTTATATTTTGCAGGGGAATTATAGAATATCAGAAAGTGCAGAAGGCTTAAATAGAAAGAGTGCATGATAAGCAAGCCTCAGGGTGTGAATGACATCAGAGCTGCAAGCAAGGTGCCAAGAGTTAGCGCTAACGATTGTGTAAAGAAAACTTATGAAAATCATGAAAATAAGATCGAGAGACTATAGAAACATTGTTTATCAAGCTCACTCAAAGATTATTTCATCATCTAGGGTAATGCATTTTTGTTTGAATTTTACTATTAATTAAAGTGTTGAGACTTTCAAAAGTTGTACATTAACTCCTTATTATTTGATAAAGAGGTAATACTCATTTTAAAAGCCTAACCTCCAACATATGGTTTTTACTGTTCTTTCAGGCATTAACCAATACTATATTTAAACTTTAAAATACTATAAAATCCCAGTTCCTAAAATGCTTTGGGAAACAGCTTTGCTCCTTTACTGGTTCAATCATTAATGAGTTAATAAATCTTTGAGAAACATCCATTTCATATTTGTATTTCAGTAATTTTAACTTGTGAAAATTATGCTTTGGCATCTGGAATCTGGAAGTGATATTTTGTAAGAAAAGATATTTACAGAATCTTTTGTATGTCTACATCTTCCATAATCCGGAATATTTTTCTTGAAAAAAACTATGCTTAAGATCTATGGGAATGATATTTGTTCCTTCTATAGGAATTTGTAAAGATTAAATAAAATAATACATATAGAGTACTTACCACAATACATGACTGAATGAGCACTCAACAAATGTCAATATTGTAACTTTCACTCTTAAAAATGACCAAAAGAAATATGTAACTTTGCCTAAAAACCATTTATGTAGCAACATAGACTTGGAAAAATTCAGATCCTTAGGAGCCAGAGAGAAAGCTTTAGAAATCTCTGTGGCATATTTATGTTTTTTTTTCCTGCACCTATATATACTTTGATATTTAATAAAAATAGTATTGAGTATGAATTATTTACTTATAGTTGAACACTTTGAAATTATCCAGTTAAATATCTGTCAGGCACCAAAAAGCATGTGATATCTGTTGTCTTGTTTAGTTTCTATTGAAGCTTAAATGTATTAAGTAATGTCTCTGGCTGTTCCAGAAGAGTTCTCATTTCTTTGGCTCGCAAATTAGAAAGTTGGTAATTTTAAAAGCTTATTTTATGAAGAAAGGAAGAATTCAAGTTTCCAGAAAATACAAAGAAATCAGAATTGTAGCACAAAAAAAAAAAAAAAAAAAAAGAGTTAAAGATTGCATTAGCTTTAGGAAATTTATCAGGTAGATATTACAGTGAAAAGGTCAAACTAAAGAAAGAAAGTCCGCTTCACGTGTGTGTGTGTGTCTATGTGTGTTTTCAAAGAATATTTGAGTCTTTTGCTTCTCAGGTAACATAACTATTATGTGTTTATTCAAATGGATTTTTTCTTTCAGGTTAAAATGTTTTAAGGCATATAAGTGTAGTTAAATGGATATTCCAAAATTACACTACTGGCATTTCTGAAAACTGCTTTAATATTGAGAATACAATGCAAATGGTACAATATGTAACCGTAACTGATGTGAAATTACCAAGCAAAAATCATGTCTGGTTTTATTTCAGCATGGAACAGTGAACATTTTTAGTGACTAAATCTTAAACATTAATAAAACCAGAAAGAAACTCAAAGAGCAGAGGAATAGAGTATAATCCTACTTTTAGATGGATAGATTATATGATTATACATTGACATAGATAATACATGCATGTAGATGTGTGTATATATACATAGGTAATAGATAGATATTTATGTCACACTATTAATTCCTGAATAGATACAAGATGAAATAAGACAATTAGTGTTGCTAGCCTTTTCAAGCATGTTTTTCTATACTTTTACTCCCATAAGGTGAAAGTCTACTTTGATTTAGATAAAATATTAAATGAAAGGCAGAGAAAAAGTGTCTCTTTGATGCAAAGTAATTTTTTGGCATACTAAGTGAAAACATTGGTAAACAAAATTGGGCCACATTTCAGAATAAGAAACAAGAAAACAGAACTAAGATACAGGCATATCTTGGCGATATTACCATTCGGTCCCAGGCCACTGTAATAAAGCAAATATTGCAGTAAAGTGAGTCACACATTTTTTGTTTGTTTGTTTTTCAATGCATATAAATTTTATGTTGGCATCACTCCTAATGAGAAAGCCAGGCACTGACTTCTCCTTTTTAGTTAGAAAAGTTTGAATGGCATCTTCTTTCAATAGAAAGCTGTTTCTTCTACATTAAAAAACTGTTTAGTGTAATTATCTTCCTCAATGATCTATCCTAGATCTTCTGGATAACTGGCTGCAGCTTCTACATCAATAGTTGCTGCTTCTCCTTGCACTTTCATGTTACATTATTTCCTTCAGCATTATGAGCCAATATCTGCTAGCTTCCAACTTTTCTCCTGCGGCTTCTTCACCTCTCTCAGCCTTCATAGAATTGAAGAGAGCTAGGACTTTGCTATGGACTAGGCTTTTACTCAAAGGAATACTGTGGTTGGTTTGATCTTCAATCCAAACCACTAAAACTGTTTATATCAGTAATAAAGCTGTTTCACTTGATCATTCATGTGTACGCTGGAGTAGCATTTTTAATATCCTTCAAAATTTTTTTTCTTTGCATTCACAAATTGGCTAACTGTTAAGAGGCCTAGACTTTGGCCTACTTTATTTTTTGATATGCCTTCTTCACTAAGCTTAATCATTTCTACCTTTTCATTTAAAGTGGGAGATATGTGATTCTTCATTTCATTTGAACACTTAGAGGACACTGTAGGGTTATCAATGAGCCTGATTTCAATACTGCTATATATCAGGAAATAAGGAAGTCCAAGGAAATGAAGAGAGACAGAGGAACAACCACTCAATGTAGCAGCCATAACACACAAACATTTATTGATTAAGTTCGGTGACATAAGAGCATGGTTCATGGCACCCCAAAACAATTACAATAGTAACATCAAGTATCATTGATATTATTTGCATATTTTTCCCCTCCAAATCCTATGTTGAAATGTGATCCCAAATGTTGGAGATGGGGCCTAGTGAGAGGTGTTTTTGTCATGGTAGTGAATCCTTCTTGAATGGCTTTGTGTCCTCCCTGCAGTTATGAGTTTACATGAGATCTTTTTGTTAAAAAGAGTCTGGCTTACCCCACTCTCTTGCCCCCTACCATGAATTAAAGCTCCTGAGGGCCTCACCAGAAGCAGATGCTAGTGCCATGCTTTTTGTGCAGCTTGCAGAACTGTTAGCTAAATAAGCATCTTTTCTTTATAAATTACTGTATTTGTCCATTCTCATGCTGCCAGGAAGAAATACCTGAGACTGGGTAATTATAAAGGAAAGAGGCATAATTTACTCAGTTCTGCAGGGCCAGGGAGGCCTCAGGAATCTTACAATCATGGTGGAAGAAGAAGCAAACACGGCCTTCTTCACATGGTGGTAGCATGAAGTGCTGAACAAAAGGGGGGAAACCCCTCATAAAATCATCGGATCTCGTGGCAACTCAGTCACTATTATGAGAAACGTGGGGAAGTAACTGCCCCTATGATTCAATTACCTCCCACCAGGTCCCTCCCACAATACATGGGGATTATAAGAACTACAGTACAAAATGAGATTTGAGTGGGAACACAGCTAAATCATATCAATTACCCAGCTTCAGATATTCCTTTATGGCAATGCAAAATGAAATAATATAATCACCGATACCAGATCATCATAACAGATATGTTAATAATGAACTATCAAAAATATGGTGAGAATTACCAAAATGTGCAGAGGCACAAAGTGAGCACATGCTTTTGGAAATATGGCATGAATAGACTTACATGATGCAAGGTTGCCACAAACCTTCAACTGTAAAACATGCGGTATCTGTAAATTACAAAAAAGCAAACAGCAACAAAGGAAGTATACCTGAATCTCTTCAACATTATAGTTATGACATCATTTGTTTATGGAGACCAGATTTAACACATCAACTGAAACCTCACATGGCAACTGTTAAAGTGACAGAGAAAGCACCTGCTTCTAGTTGTAGTCAATTCTAGAAAAACATTTTTGTGAAGGTCATAAATATGCTTCACATTCTATTTCAGTAACATATTTATATTGTTATTGTATTTGAATTATAATTCATTTGCATGTTCTCCATTGTCAAAATGAATTTCAGATTTAGATAGGAAAAAAAGAAATTACTTGCTGTGGAAAAAATAAATCTTTAGTATTTAATTGGATATATAATGATAATATCTGTAAAACTAATAGCAAAATTCAAATATGCTTTTATTGAAAAGTTCTTTAGCACTCGCTTTTATCATGTCTCATTTTCTCTGATGTACTAGACCTAAATTGCCACTTATAATGTGTGATGAACATACAGAAACTTACATGTTGCCTTTTGTTTTATCTAGAAGCAAGTAGATTGTACAAATAGGCTTGATTGCTCTGTGATAGAAAATGTGACCATCTGTAACAATTCATATTGTGAACTTATTACATAGATAATTATTATGATTAGTGTTACAATTCAGCAATCAGAAATCTGTACAGGATCCAAAGGAACACAGCAGGATAATACTCTATCTAAATGGGCTCAGGAAAAATGCAATTTATTTGACACACTCCACAAGAGAGGCAGAATCAATTGGACATATAACGTAATCATTTTTCTCTCCCTCAGCAGCTTGGCACAGGAGCCAGCATCATGCATGGAAGGGAGTATGCCATACAGAACCATGGTTATCGCATCTGCATGAGAATAGATCAACCCTTGGGTGCACTCAAAGTATTACTGGAGCTTCCTTCATTCAGACAGGACAGGTTTTCCTAAAGATGCTCTCCTTTTATATCACACAGGACACACATTTCACCTTCAAGTGCTATCTTCATGTCACTCACTTAGGAAATTAAACTTCCTCATTTCTCTACCTCTACTTGGTTTCAAACGCAGCAATAACAGTTGGATTAAACTATATATTTTGCAAGAATAATCTAACCTCCCTCCTTGCATTCTTCGTGACTGACCTATGATCTATTCTTTGAAAACCAGTAAATCATATTCTGAGAATTATAAGCTTATTTAAAAATGTTTAACACTGAATGGTCTTCTGAGCTTGAAAGACATGAAAACTTTTACTACCATGCTGATAAAATATGTAATTGTTCAATTTCTGAAAAGCTGTTGCATTGTCTCTAGTTAATCCACATCTGCTAGATTAAATAAGATATGGCATAAGGGAGCTTGGTGGGAGGTAGAGAAGGGGAAGGCAAAGGAGTCCTAAAGACATGCAGGTGGAAAATTGTTATCCCAAACATCTGGACCTATTTACTAGGTACTTGCCACCCTGGGCTAGATACATGCTCCATTTACAAAGTCCCTTACTAGAAAACACATTTTTTAAAAAAGGAATGTCTTATTGCATAAAATACCCAAATATGAAAATATTAACTTTCAAAAATAATCAAATATGTAATCATTAAGATGGAGCATCATTTTTTGCCACTTAATGGAAAATTAAAAGGATATGTAAGTGATCAATACAAGTTTTTGAAGAAATATTAATTTCAATATTTATTTTTTATTCCTAAGCTCTGTATTCACAAAAAAATGACATTAAAATAGAACTTCATTATATACCATTCTCTTCAAGATATTTTATACATATTTACTGTCTGTTTGGTGCCACATATTCCAGGCACCATTTTATTAAAATTATTTATGTAGTTAAGGAGTGAGTGATTATATATCATGTCACTTCTTGGTTTTCCTTTTTTCTTTATAGAACATATTAATTTTGAATGCACATGGCATACTTTTTATAGGTATAAAAAGAACTGACAAATGCAAAACATGACTGCTTCCATAGCCGTTTGCTTTCTCCATTTGGAAGATACTAAATATAAATGTGCCTTTTGTTTTCAAAAATATTCTATTGACATTTTCTTTGGTTTTTATTTTTGTAAAAATCATACTATTGTTGAAAATAGTATGAATCTTTCATCAAAGCAATATTCTTGTTTTCCCGTATTCCAAATCGTCAGTCTCCAGAGTTAACCAAATTCAAAATTTTTACCTGTTTCTTCTTTTACTTACTTTTGTATTTTCTAAATCACATTCATATTCTGTTCTTTCTTTAGTATTTAGTCCTACATAGTATCTAAGGGCCTCCAAAAGTGGAAAGTAGAAGAGAAGAATTGGCCTTTTGTAACCTGCCTTCTTCGTGTCAAAGCACATATACATAAACACATGCATAAACCTATACATATGCGCACACACACACACACACACACACACACATGCATACATGCTTTCTTCCAATATAATTATATAACGGTTTAAGTTAATATTTGCATTATTGTGACTATGCAAATATTATTTGTAGCTAAGCTAAGTAAAATATTCCATATAGTATCACTACATTATCATTACGTTTTATATTTTGCTCAACTCTTCATTGCCCTGGTGTTAATTTTTTCATTTGGTTCTTCTCCAGTGTGGCCATCAGTATTTCATTCACAATCAATCTCTACCTACTCAATGAATCAAACACATTCATGTACTCTTCAGTTTAAATTTCTTCGAGACGTCTCTCCTGAGATCTTCAGTACTCAGCTTCAATCTGAACCATGTGCTTTCTAGAATCATTGCTCACTGGTCAACCTGGAACTTTCTTCCCTTGACCATCAAATTGGGAATTTCTTTCATTCCTCATCCATGGGAAGTCCTTCTTTTCAGGGTCCTCATTCTCTTTCTTGTTTTTCTCATGCTACTAAACAGAGCACACACTCCAGTAGCTTACTGAGAATGTGTATGTGCATCAAAACCTTGAGTACATGAAAATCTTTTTCTTCAACCTTCACAAATCTTTCATAGTCTGGCTAAATATACATCATCTTGTCTTAGAATTTTTAAGACACTATTTCACATTCTTCTAGCTTTTAGTAAGTCTGAGGACATTTTATAGTATTTTTTTTTGTAGGTGACATGTTTTTGTTTATTCTTTCTTTAAGAATTTAGGAACTTTATACTCATTGTGAATTTTTAAGATGACTGTTGCTGGAGGTGTTTTTAAAAACCATTGCTCATAATATTCTTTGTATCCTTCTGAAAACTATTATTCAGTTATGAAACATTTGCATAAATTTAAAATATAAATTTTACTTCCTTTTTTGTTTTATTTTTCTGGAATTCGCCTTATTAGATGGTACTACTGAATGGATACTTCTAATCTGGATATGTTTTTTTCTACTGTATTTCCTTGTCTTTTGCTGTTTTAGCTTTCAGAAAAATTTCAATTTTTATCTTTATGCACAGACACAAAGATATTTTCTCTATATAGCATTCTCTATAAATTTTATTTCCCCTGAATTCATTTATTTATTTTTTCTTTGTTAAGACTTATTTTATGTAGATGCTTTCATCAAACATCTGATGATTCTTGTTCATCCCTATATATGTAAGAGAGAGGGACTAAAAGGAATTTTCAACTACCCTTACTTACAAATTCTGAAATTAAATGAAATAAACATATTTTGACTACCTAATCCACATTTTGTAAGCTTTCATAGTAAATATATAACTCGATGTATTTTCTTACCTGAAGAGATTATCCTAATTGAAAAAAAAAACATGAACAATTAAACACCACATGAGATGAAATAAATAAAATTTTCATTTTGTTTTGTTTTTGTTTCTTATCAGTTGGGAGCTATCAAATCTGGAGCACATGATTTACTCTTGCCTCTGAATATTAAAAAAAATAGACATCCAAGAAGACTATTTTTATATTAAGATTTATACATAAGATGAGGCTTTATATGATAATAATAAAACAGTGTGCAATTAGAGTGATATCTGTGATTGACTTTCTAACATTCTGGCTGCACTAAATGACTTATCTCTGCCAATATGGCTATCTTATTCCCTTTGACAGTGACTTGTTTAGCAGTGAGCATTCAAATTAACAAAAGTCCTGTGTGCAGTTTCAATTCTCCTTAGATAACATGGGATGAGATAGTCTCTTTGTCTGGATATTTTCATATTTTGATATTTTATCTGAATCTGCAGTATTCCTGCATCCAGAAGCACAAAGCCAAAATAGCCTCATATTTTTTAGTACATCATTGGACCAATAAGTCAAGAGTCCTGGATTAATTGTACATTACTATTGTATTAGATAATATTCTTTTATTGAATCAATTTGGGTCATGCATTCAGCTACAGGCATTTCAGCCAACACAATAAATTTCTTTATATTTAATATAAAGAACATATTCTCAAAGGACAACTTACTATAAGATCAAAAAAATACAGGAAGAAATTAAAATACTTGTACTAGTAAGTATAAATCCCATGTTGCTTTCAGTGCAAATAGCAAAGGTCTATTCACACTTTGTGGTACAATAAAACTAATTTAGTTAATTGAAGAGGTGACTATGAGAGTGTTTCGGGTTACAGCAGTGTTTCACTTTGTACATAAATTTGAAGATAAACAATTGAATAAAGATCCTTTCAGAAAGTTTTAAAGATGCGATCCTGTATATAAAATTTTAGAGGAAAGATTTTTAGATAGTAGGATTATTATAAAAGTAGTAATTTTGTTAACATTTTTAAAATAGAATCATTTTCTTTGGTTTTATTTAGTGCAATATAACTATCTTTAAGTTACTACTGAGACATGGATTATTTTTTGTCAATTTTTAAAGTGATTGCATTACTGTAATTTTACAAAAATTAAAATTAATTTTATTTTTAAAATTTTCAAATGATGCTTATGAATATTACTATATTTAATATCAAAACAGTTCTAAAATGAAATAAGACCATAGTACTATGATTGATATTATGCAGATCAAAAAATAATGCAGGAAGACATTTAAATACTTGTACTAATAACTAGAAATCTCTTGTCACAAGCCATGTTATCTGGTGATCATCTATTTCAAAGCTTGATAAGCTTCTATGATGCCCTCAGCACATTATAATGAGTATGACTAAAATATTCTTTTCAAAATAAATCTTAATACTAAAGACAATATTCTGCCTTCTGTTTGCTTCTTCATTTTCTTGTCAGGCGTAGATTAATTTTGAGAGGGAATCTGAAGGTAGATTAGATAGTAATCCAGCAAAAGCTATGCAGAACGGCGCATGTTTCAATTGCAGCAAATACATAGTCTTAAATAAAAACCCTATATTACTGTTAGCAACAAAATCACAGAGAGTAATATAGTAGAAATGCTGATTCTATATCCAGGAACCTGTCATCTTGAGGGATTTAACCATGGTAAAATTTAATATCAACCAATTTGGAGTTTTACTTAATATCTTCTTCCTAAAGAGTGGAAAATACAGTTTTGTGGGGAAATGACACTAAATATGTCTTTGTATATCGTAATATACACTCTATCAGTAAGGCTTTTATTTGAACCACAGGATATTGCCAAGAAATAACCATCTTGGGCCTACAAATGGCAATTTCATCTGATTCAATCTGGTATTTTTTGGCCATAATTTTTACTAAAAAAAAACTGAGAAAAGATGGAATAAGATCAAATTATCAGCTTAATTTACAGGATTTAAACTTTTTAAAATAATTCTTATATACACAATGAATAATTTTAATTTAAGTTTTAGTTTATGTCTCACTAAAGGAAGACTCATACCATAGAATCATAACCATAAGTTTAAAAAGCCTACTTAAGTACTTTCTTTCATATGGATGACAAGGTTTCTGTTAGAATGTCACATCAAAAAAGTATTTTGCAAAATTTAGTATGTAACACTAACACGAAAACATAAGAATGCAAGTGTTTATTTTATGCTATAACATCACCAAATCCACAAATAACATCTTTTTAAAGAATTAAATGGCTCTTAGTGAAAGGAATCCAGGAGAATGACAAAACTAAATTCAGAAAACAAACTTTCAATTATAGTCTAGAATTAATTTTTGTTTTAATATTGAAATAAAACCTTTTCCTACTGCTCAATGCATTTCTAATCTCCTCCCAGTGCTGGAGCTTTCTAGTTGATAGGCACTTTATAGTGTTCTTATATTATGTTTTATATCAAAATACGATTATGCTTTTAGTGACTCATGGTAAAGGGAACTAAAGGAGGAAAAAGCCTACATAACCAGTAAAGATTTTAACAGTTTATTTGACACTTTATAAATTATAAACTTATGTCCTTTTACTTTTTTTTATTATTATTATTGAGACAGAGTCTCACTCCATCACTGGGCACCAGGCTGGAGAGCAGTGACGCGACCTCGGCTCACTGCAACCTCCGCCTCCCAGGTTCAAGCAATTCTCCTACCTCAGCCTCCTGAATAGCTGGGACTACAGGCACGCACCACCACGCCCAGCTAATTTTTTTGTATTTTTAGTAGCGACAGGGTTTCACTATGTTGGCCAGGATGGTCTCCATCTCTTGATCTCGTGATCCGCCCACCTCAGCCTCCCAAAGTGATGGGATTACGGGCGTGAGACACCACGCCCTGCCCTTTTACTTTACTATAATAATGATATCCGTTTTATAGCACTCTAAGTTTTACAAAGATTTTAATTTAAATTAGAGTATCTCATTTAGTGTTTTTTGCTTTTGTTTTTGTTTTGTTGTTGTTTATTTTTTTTAAGACTGGGTCTCACACTGTCACCCAGGCTGGAATGCAGTGGCATGACTACAGCTCACTCCCTCCTCAAACTCCTGGGCTCAAGGAGTCCTCCCACCTTACCCTCCCGAGCAGATTAAACTACAGACACACATCACAATGCCAAGCTATTAATTTTTTTTTTT